TGTAGGAGCCCACTCCTCTGGTCAGAGCAGGTTTCAGAGGAGCTACTCCTGCTGCTGGCTGTTCAAAGAAGTGTCGCTTTTTTACTTTAACAAAATATGAAAAAGGTAAAGACTGTATCAAGTTCCCAGCCTGCTATTCTTACTGTGGCATTCCAACCTCTTCTCAGATTCAGGAGTGGTTTGCTTGCCAGCATTCCTCCCATTATTTAAGACTATTGGCTTGTCTTTCCTCCAGAAAGTTGATTCACTGAATCTATAGGGCATTTCTTCTGGATAGAATGACTTTGAAGACTGAGACGGGATCCTTATTTGCAAGTGTGGTTGTTCATTCCTCTTCGGCGTTCCTCTTATTGTGCATTTAGAAACACAAACCACTTCTCCCCTATCCCTTGATAACGGAGATCTCTCCGCTGTTTACAAAGAATAAGCTCCCCAGGTAAGACCAGCTTAGATTTTGCTTCAGCTAGACAGACTGGTCAGGCTGCAAGGGACACACCTGCTTATTTATGAATACGTTAGTTACAAGAGACTCAGGGGAAAGAAAACTGAGTGGCCTTGGACAAGGAAGGCAAGTAATCAGGACAGGATAGGGAGTATATGTAAGAGGAGCAGAAAGAAAAAAAAATACAAACCAAAAAACCCCCACCCAACCACCCAACCACAACAAACAAAAACCCAACCCTGAAAATTCAACAAGATATTCAACAGTCAGTTGACAGGGGGAGACTTGTATTGTGCTCCAGAAGTCTACAAATACCCCTGCACTTTGGTGATTTCTCTTTTCAGTTTGTCCTAAGGAAGGAAATGGAATGGGACAGTACAAAAAAGGAAAAATACTTCCTGGATCATCACCACTGCTGTCAGTGGTGACAGGGAATGGAGGGGAGCAGAGTAGGGAGGAGAAAGAGCTCTGAGTGCAGACTATCCTTGCTAAAAGTACAGTAGTTCGTAAAAATAGCCCCGGACAACCGATGGTGAAGGGTAGTACTTTAAGTCATTCCTAAAGATTATTAGAGTAGTATTAACTATGGATGGGATATTCAAACATCAGAAACCCAAAAATGCAACTCAGATCAGAATATGGCTACTATATGGAAAGGATGAACATAAAAAGCAGAGAGAAAAAAAATCAAGTGAAAGAATAAACGGACAGTGTAAATATCATCATTTGTTTCCACTAGCATACTAAGCAATTTTGTAACTTAAACCCTGTGTTTCTTCACAAGTTTAGGGTTTTGTTTTTTATCGGTTATCATGATTTTTAAATACCAGGAGGATAAAAATTCAGAAGAAATGAGAAGTTTGAACCCCACAAGCCCTTGCAGCAATTTAAAGATGGTATTATGCTAAGAAATGCGTAAAAAAAAAATAATCATAATGACTTGCAAATATTTCTGTATTTTTAATTGAAACAATATGATATGTGAAAACTTGGCAACACAACATTTCCATTAACTGAAACAGACTGCTACCTAGAATTTTGTTTCCATATTCATTAGGGCCAGCAGCTAAACTAGCATGTATATATCCTGCAAACTATAGTGTACAGTCTATACAAATTATATACAACTGTACATTATGCACAGTATACAACATCGGTACTCATGTTTTCCTCTGTCTTTTGTATTCGTCGCACCTTTTTCTCATTGATGTCAAAGTAAAAATGCATGTGCTGATACTTTAGTGAAAGATTTGTAGCAATAATACTCTAATTTGTATTACCAAGACATCTCCTAAGCATAAAGAAAGACTTGACTTTTTAAAGGGATCCTTTACACAGAGAGTGCTTTATGCTCAATAAAATCAGGCATGACCAAGAAGCACTTTTTGAGCACCTCTCATTTGCTATATATTAAAGAGAAAGCAAATATTTTCACAATGTTGAAGCAACGGGAAGACCAGGGTCAAGGTTTTACCCAAAATGTTTTTCCAAAGGAAGTGGAAACCAGACATCAAAATGTTCATCACTCTCAACAATAAAGAGAGAAGAAAGAACAAAGAAAAGAGGATGAGGTTAAAAATAACATCTGTATGGTTCCCAAACTAAATTCTTGTTTTACATTAGGTTTCACTTAGGATTACAAAGTAGAAGCTGGGAACAAAAGCATCTTGGCTAATTGGAAAAGTATCTAGAAACAGAATGGAATTTTCTGTCTTAGGTGGAAGAAGAATTCAAAGAACTCAATGTGCTGAGGGAGGGTACACTAGATGACCTTCATCCCAGAGTACTGAAAGGGCTGACACATGAAATTATAAGATCTAAGAAAGGGATAAGAATAAAAATTCATCAAGTCAGACTAATACTGTCTGACTGAAGAAGAGCAAACATAACACCTGTATTTAAAACAGCCAAAAAATGCCCTGGTCTAGTACAGACCAGTGGTAGCCTGACCTCAGTAGGTTTGTGGTGCACTTTAAGGGAAGCGAATAACACATCTCAAGGTGTATAAATGTTATATATTGGAGGTTTTTGTTTTTTTTGTGGGGTTTTTTGTTGTTTTGTTTTTTTTTTCTCTGGAGCATTCCCTTGGGTTGTGTACATGTACAAGCAATGGAAGTTTTTCTTTGCTTGAAGTAAGCAGGCAGCTGAGATCCAGGTAAAGTCTGGACTGAACATCCTCCTTAGATCCTTCTGGGTATACTCCTTCCCCATTCCCTATTCCTGCCTTTCCCATGCTCTGAGCCCTCTTTGCCATACTCAGGACCTTATCTTCTACTCAGGACCTTATCCTCTCCTCTCCTCTCCACTCCGTCTCCCTTTTGCTTAAAAAAGCAGTAGATACCATATGTTCACATATATTCACTGACATGTTAGTTGATGGGATTGGGTGACCTGGGCACCTATCTTTTGAGTACAATAATTTTAAAGGTTGATGGTTGTCTGATATATGTGTTATACCTACAAAAAATGAAAAAAGATTATATGTATGAAGTTTAAAAACTTTTGAAAATGGAACATTGGTTTTACTTTAAAAATAGTCATGCCTCCTTTTTTTATTAAGAATTTTTTTTCTGTACAAAATAGACATGGTAGATGAAAGGTTTTACAAAAGCTTTTCATGTGGCAGAGCATAAGAAACTGTTAGTTTATTAGGATAAATTGAAGAGCAGTCCAAGAACTGAAAGATGGATAAAGAACTGCAAAAAGTAAAAATGAAACTGCGTTATTCAAAAAGCTTTTGGGCTGGCTGCAAGTTATAGACAGAATCCCTTCAGAATTAGCTTTTCAAATATTGTATTTATTTTCCTTTAATTATTGAAAAGTCTTAAATGTCAGTTATGTCCTTCAGAGGACATCTATCTTATTCCTGAGGTTTCTGCTAAACAATCACCCAGATCTATTCTACCTAATCTCTCTGGCACCTCTTCTAATATAATCTATAAGTGGTGTCTAGCAAACAACCTAAACTCATCTCCTAATTTTCCTCCTCGTAGCATCAATATTCCCAACTCCAAGATGAGTGGGATAGGGATTTGTGCTTTTATGTTGAGAGGTGGGCTCCTGGATGGTCTGGAAACTTTAATTCCAAAAGGCCTGAGCTCAGCTATACTTATGGCATTTTTGGTGGGGATGATGGGTTTTAGATGACTACACAAGGGAGATGATCAGCATCAGTGTCTGAGTGAAATGTATATATCTTGGAGGGCAAAAGAGTTTTGCGCATGTACAAAACAAGTAATATTCGGGGTTAAGGGTTTCTATGATCTCTAGCTGACCACTGAATTTAGATGTGAAGTTGGTGTTTGGAAACTGACACACGTGAGAAAGCAGAATTTAGTGGGAGAGCAGAAGTTAGCAGCCTAAAATCTCTTGTTCTGCTAACATAAGGAGACGATGCCAGTGTATGATGACCACTGCATTAAAGCACTGCTTGGCTTTGCAGTTAGCTTGTATTCCACCTTCAGTTTGTTGGTCTGTGCGTGACCCATCCCTGGTACTCAGCAATCTCCCTGTCCTGTGAGGTGGAGGCTCAGAGATGAGCGCTGACAGCTGTGCCAGGCAAAGATTTGCTCCAGGTAGGAGAATCCCCTGTCTTCTTTTTTGCAATGGCTAAAGGCTCCTTTGCACACACAAATTCAGAGTGCTCCAAGTAAGGGGAAGGGTTTGCCTGAGCATTTTTACAGAGAGTTGTTTTAGTTATGCATTTACATAATTAATAATTCCATGTGATACTTTATCTAAAGCTGACTGCAAGATTTACCCAGGGGCTGGGAAGAGTATGAAGGGGGGCAGGAGGGAGTATAGCGGAAGTTTTGCTTAGCACAGGGGGCTGTACCAAAAGGACTGGCTGCATGACTCCAGCATGCCACTGTCAGATAAACCCCCCAAAATGGCCAGAGGTTTATGTCTACCACTGTTTCCAAGTCTCTAAGAGACCTCCTGGCTATCCCCAGATACCTCACCATTTAAAATCAGCAGTTTGCCTCCTCCATCCCCTTCCCTAATACGTATAAAATATTCTCAACAGTAGAAATCATAGACACATTTTTCAGTTATAGCAGCAAAAAATCCTTTCACCTGTTTCCTATAAAGAAAATACCAGAACTTCTAACATACAATTGGGAGCTTATAAAAGGAGGCTATTAGCACAATGACAAATTTGGGATATTTCGGAGAAGTACATTGGTATGTCTGTTGCTTGATTTGTGGCACATGTACAGTTGCAGTTCAATTTCCCTGGAGCTGGAAGAGAGGTCTGAACAAAATGGTGCAATAAATTTTACAGGGGATGCTAATAGGCAGAAGGGGTTGGTTTAAAAACAACAAGCCATCACTTGTAATCAATGCTTGACACGTGCCCAGTTTTCTGAAATTAAAGTGAAAGGTGAGGTTGGTTATGCCTAACACAATCCAGGCATATTTATTTGCATCCATGCATTTGAAAATCCGAGTTTACATTTTTAAAGCTAAATAAAGTTGCCTTGTGACACTTACATTGTACCTATTACATATTTCACTTCAAAACCTCATCTCTCCTAAAGCCTCTTCAGTGTGCTTGAAGTAGCACAGCAAAAGAAAAGGAATTTTCAGTTTAACTAGAGCACTGACATTCTGTTACACAATTCGATCTTGTCTATTTACCGGCTCTTAAAAACCAGAAGACACTAAACAACAACAACAACAACAAAAACAAAAACAAAAAAAAAGGGGGGGGGGGGGAGCAAGCTGAATGCATCCAGCCGGCAGTGCCATAGGTGTCTGAATGCATCTGTAGCTTCCCTCTCACTCATCAGTGTAATTGTTGTCATGTTATTCCATTTTTTGATTAGGCTGGTCCGCCAAGCTCCCAGCTTTTCCTGGCCAAACGTTCTTCTGCTGGTTGTCATGGTGACTGCATTGTTCCCGGGGAGAAAGGCTCTGTTGTCTGGCATTGTTCTGTTGTGCTTTAGGTAATGCACGAGGCATCACAAGTGAAGTGGATGGACCTTTTTTGCTCGGCATCATTGCCGAGTATTGAAAATCTCACATAAAAAAGGAGCAAATAGGCCCTGACCAAAGAAATAACCAAGTTCTTTTTTTATTCTCTCTTTTTTTTTTTTTAAAGAAAGCACGCATTATTATAAAGAGGTAAACCAGCGCTGGCGATTAACTGAATAATCTAAGGAAATGCTATAGAAATTATATTTATTACAAGAACAATTGCCGTGATTTGAATGTTACTATACAATGCTAACCATTTGTCAATTTAACTTGAATATAGTTTTTAAATATTCACTGATTTCTCTCCAGCTTGCAATGCCATTTAACCCCAGATTCTATTTAGCTTTAAACACTACACTTTAGGAGGTGAATGCAATCATTTGGTTTTTAAAATTTAGTCTATGACTGTCTACCTTTTTAGGCAAGCTACCACAGGTAGTTTAGTACTTTTTATATCACTATCAGAGTATGCAATCACTGATATTTCTTTTTTTGTTTTTCTCCAAGAAATAAGGCTTTACTCCAATATTAATTAGGATTTCTGGAAAAATATTAAAATATCAGGCACTATTCACATGTTTGACTTTGACATTCAGACAATTTCTTTAAGAAACAGCTCAGGAAAATTTAGGAAGAAGCCCTGAGAAAGTTCTTCAAAGAGCTTTAGCTTATTTAAATGGATTGCCAGACAAGATATTGGCTTTAAATTGTGATTAATTAATAACTTTTCAACAGCAATTTACACATTAAATATTGAAGGTAAGCCTAATGTAAATCCCAACAGCCTTAAAACAGTCGGTAGTATATGGTTTGAGAGCCTGATTTTCAGCTTGTGTTCAAGTTCATCTGCTGATCCCATTAAAGGAAACCAGCAGGGTACCAGCGCTTCAATCCTGTCATTCCAGGGTGAAAAAACACCTTTCAGCAGAACCTGTCACTGGATGTCACCAAAGTTCCATGGATTTGCCAGCAATACAGCACTAATTTATCAATAAAACTCAAGAGTCTTAAAGCAAGCAAGCAAAAAAGACTATTGCAGGTAACCCAGCTTACCTGTAAAGCTGGTAGGGCCAGAACCTGCACTCAAACAGCCAGGGACATGCTCACTGTTGTTACTGAAGCCACTGAGGTTTACATGCAGTGGCTTTCAGCTGCCCAATATCCCACACGTGGAGTGAGGAGAGATTTCAACTGCTGGCACAGGCAGTTAAAAAACTACACAGAGTGGCTTAAATTGAGTTGTAATACCTGCTGACACAAAATTTCCCCTTCACATTTGTAAAATGAGAATCAACTTTTCCTTCTTCCCCCTGAAAAAGTGGGATTTTTTTTTTTTTTTTTGTCCAGACTGTTTGTTGAGCCCAGCAGGGCTGGGTCCATCCCACACCATGTGTGCCTCCTGTACTGGGGACTGCTGGTGGTACACACTTGGCACCCTAGAGAAGATTTTGCCTCTTAGGTACTCAGCTCTTCCATGTAACATATTGGGAATCTAAAAAGAAATAGTAGGAGATGATGGTTTCCTTGCAACGGGACCAATACAAACATGTAATCCAAGCAGTAGCTCTTGAATAATGCTAAAATAACTTAGGTGAAGATGGAAAAAATAAAAATTTGCCATGAATATGAAACTTTAAAATACCTATTATGGGTAACAGAAAAATAGTTTGTCCTTTGGAGAAAAAAAAAAAAAAGATTGTTCTATCATGTAGTTCAAATACTTTTAAATCTGAAGAGTGGGGACTTCAAAATAAAAAAATTATTTGGACATCTATGCTACAATGACTTCCTGTGGGCAGTACATCCCCAAATACCTTCTAATTTCTCAGAAATTTTTGATTTTTCAGAAGTTACTTTTAAAAGCTAGAGAATCAATAGCCTTCATACAATTTGCCAAGGAACACTGAGGTACAGTGACTATCTTTCTTTGAGTTCACCTTGAACACCAGCTGGCCCCGCATTTCACGAGGGCTAGCAAGAGCAGGGGCTGGCTGCAGCAGCAATCCTGCCTTTCCCAGCTCCTCTCCTGCGAGGTGCTCTGGAGATGTGCCCGGCACCTCTGGCAAAGAACTTGCACACAAACACCTCTGAGACTGGGTAGGAAATCAGGATTTATCTTGCTTGCATACATGCACAAAGATTATTTACTCACATGCAGAGGCAGGTTTGCACACAGCTTCGTATCATATAATGCCAGCCTCATCTACGGCAGAGGTATAATTCCTGCTAAATTCCTAGTTCTCTTTTAATTCTATGAAATTACTATATAGCCCTGTTCATTTTACCCTTATTAAATTCAGGAGAGCTTTGCCATAAGGGATAGCTTCAGAAACATTAAAATAGGACAATTGCTGTTTTTTGGAGAGCTCTATTGCAAGTGTATTGCCTTCTCAGCTGGAAAGGATGATTACTGATGTCTGAAAAAGGTACTTATAGCTTAGTACACAGTAAACATGTATTTTGTTTTTCTTTTGCTCTGTTAAACAATATAATACATAGCAAAAATCTACAGAAATAGCAATCAAAACAGACACACTTTAAGAAGAATCCCAATGCTTCTTAATTTGTACTTCATTCCTCCCGTCAGCATTTTCATCCGCATTCATCACTGAATATTCATTCCTGCTTCTGCCTTTGGGTTGAGTGTGGCAGCAGCCCGGGAGAGTCACACAGGTATTCGGGTGAAGGGGGTGACAAGACTTTCCTCCCCCATTCCTGCTGCCAGGAAGGAGGATCCCCAGCTCCTCTCTGGTTTGGGAGAGTTGAGCTCCCCACCAGCCCCCTTTCCCCTGCCTGATGCGCTGAGAGCTCCCCCTCCTGTTACAGTCAACCTTAACTGCAGCCGACAGATTAATATTATTACCTCATTTTAATTGATTCCTCTCCTCAATTCAAAAAAGCACATCTGGTGCTTTTCAGAGTCAGACAAAGCTTCTTTCCTCCCATCCTCTCCTGAACATCAATTAATGTTGGTAACAAAAAGAAAATAAGAGTTTGTTCTGCATACCTAACAGTCACAAGTGACAGAGAGAGAGGAAGGGACTTGCTCCAGGTGGGGATGAAGGAAAATGACAGAACTGCCAAATCTTCTGTGTTTCTGCTCCTCAGCAGGACTTACTAGGTCAAGCCACAGTGACACAGCTACTGCGGCTCTGCAGTTGCCAGACCAGGATTGTCTTACACCTCTTTGACTTGAAGTGCACAAAAAGTGATGTGTAACTCTTTACACCTTCCAGGTAGGTGGTGAGCAGTTGGTTCCCATGCAATTGCTGAAGCCTGAAAGGTGATTTCAGACATCACTGCCCATATTTCAACTCTCAGACACATGGGTCAACATCAGAATTTCTAAAATCTCTCCTAATACAGGCACAGCATCCTGAGCCCGCAGTCCTACATGGCTCACGCTCCCTGCAAACATAACGCAGTGACCAGTGGGGCTGAAGACAATGAGGATGAAGACCCCTTGCCAGTTCTCCAGAGCAGGAGGAGCTCTCCTTGAGTAGAGAGATGAAAATAAAGTTCAAATGGGTCTTTATAATAGGGGAAAAAAAAAAAGAGATGGCTTGGCATACAAAAGGACAAGTTCGTTACAACCATTTGTGCAATGTTAAGAAATGAGGGACAAAACTCTGGCTCTCTGGGTATGAACTCTCTGGGTATGGCCCAGGGTCCCCCATAGGGCCAGATCTGCAGGCCAAGGGGACAGCAAGCCCATATGAACGGGCACAGCTGAGCCCAGGATGTGTTCAGTTGTCAGGACAGGTTCTCTTGCTTGGACCATGAACAGAGTGGGAAGTCACTGGTGCTTTGCAGGCCTGCTCACCTCACCCACCCCTCTGGAAACACATTCAAACAAGGTTCAACATTCACCATTGAATTCTGTGTGTGAGTGGTTCCTGCTTTCCAACCTGACCTTAGGAAAGTTCCTGATGCCAGAAAAAGACACATGAATTTTTTCAGGATGATAAACATCCATGACGAGTAAGGAGGAATGTCACTGAAGGCCACTGAGTCAAAATCAAATATGAGATAAAAATTAAAGAAATAATGTATTAATTTTAAGAAAGGAAACTGGTGCCATATTGTTCTGTTGCTGTCTACAAGCAACTCCAGGACCTCAGTTCATCAGTTCTACAACGAGAACTGAAGTCTTTGAAGTTACTATCCAAGCTGTCTTTTTTCTTTTAAACTTGACCTTACTGCAAACTCAATAGCTCAGATTCCTGACTTGCTTGGGAGCTTAGCTTTCCCTTAGAGTTTCTGTCTGACGATGCCTTTGTCCAACTTTGTAGCAGCTACTTTCTTCCTGTCTCCATTTTATTTCTTCTGCTTTCCCCCTGCTCTCTCTGCAAAGAAATTTAGTGTGGATCACTCTCATGTGATTTCACGTACAATTCCAAACCAAAGCTCTTTTCATGCTCAAATACCTTTTTATTTTCATGCTCAAATACCTTGTGGCTGTTCTTGATTGTGCTATGCATATGAAGAGCTATATATTTTGGCTATCAAAACAGACATAAGACTGAGATGAAAAATGTATTTATGCACATTTTTTATCAAACACAAACATATATTTTACATCAGATGGGAAAATGTCTTCTCAAAAGCCTGAACGTTACTAGACATGAGGTGAATTTCATGACGACTAAACCAGATCTAAAAAAAAAAGGAGGGAAATAATAGCTAGCTGGCTGCTGATAAACACAGATTTAAAAAATGCAAAAATTAATCCAACTGTCCCAAAACAAGAGATTCAGCAAATTAGAAGTATGCTCACTCTTAAAATTCGCTTTAAAATTGCTATTTTATTTTTATTATAGAACTGTCACACAGAACAATATAGGGAAGGGAGCTGTGTTAGCTAATCTGCTGTAATCCTTTCAACTCTTTGAAAGAATAACAAGCGGTTGATAAGCAGGGTCAGGCTGGGTCAGGATTTCGATAGGAGACATCTAAGGAATGCCTAGGTGCTTCAGGAAGGGGATGTGGGTGATTTAGCAAGCTAGTTAAACCAGCAAGCTCGCTCTCACCTCTGCTTGGGTAAGGGTAAGGAGCAAATGGAGCAGACCATGTGCTGCAGAAGGGGTAACCTTTTTGGGGAGGTAGGCATAATAATACAAATACGCATTGAGGCATTATTTTACCCCTTTATCAGACAGTGGCTTTAACTAACACCAGCTCAGGTAAGTACATTTTGCCTTGCTGATTGATGGATAAACCATTTCCTGCATCCAGTCCTAAAATTTACAGGGTGTTGTCAGTTGGTGTTAAGCCACACCATAAACTATGTTGTCAGCCCATTGTCTCAAGTCACTTCTCTCCTAAACACTTTGGACAGATTAAAAATACATTTCCACAAAGTACTTATAAATTGCAGGAATACCAGCTGCACCCACTACAGCTATCACCAGCAGCAATTCCAGTGTTGGTTTTAACAGCAGTTTATATATATAATCACCAAAAAATGGATGATATGCAATATCGGTAAATATTTTTAATTAATCCACCATGAAGTTCTCATCTGAACCAGAAAAATAAACGAGATAAAATGATTTGAGGAGTACGTACCTTGCACTTTTGAAATATTATACAGGCTGTGCTGGCAAAAACAACTGCCCTCCAAGAAAATATGTCATTGAAAAGTCAGTATCTGTGGGTTACTGAAAGAAATGTAGCAGCTCCAATGAAAGGAGTAAACCTCTCTCTCTCAGACCTCATTTCATGCTTTTTTGTTTCTACTGAGCATGTTTTAAGAACTAATCAGCCTTATAAAAGGTACCACTGTTAATCTACTGTTTGTCTTCGTGTTCACTGCAGCTGCTTAGTAGATAGAGAGCAAACAAAACCAGAATTAAGGTCATTCCATTTAAATCCTTCAGAGTGGAAGACAAGGACTAAATTATTGCTGAGAATTACATGAAGGGAAAGACCAGGATAAGATAACTATTGTTTGTTATTTGCCAGACCCATAGTGGCACTGCATTTACATATTTGTGAAGGGATTAAATTAACATTTTCTGAGATTAATTGGTAGCATGGGGACATTCTCTGATACACTGTCCACACAACTTAAATGTAATGCTCCTGTGCAGTACATATGCAGTATATACTGCTAGTGAGAAATAACCCAAACCTACCAGCTACTGATCAGTTGTCGTGCATGAAATGTAATGACATTTTTTTCACATAAATAAAATATATAGGACATTATGACATTTCATCGTACAATACAGGTTTGAATCTCACAGGACCATGGTACAGACCTTAACAGATGATTTTGCTTTTCTATTATAAGACACCTTAACCCTGTACTTTCACATCTTTAAGGCAGAAGGAGCAATAGCACAAAAGATCTCTTTTATGCTAATAACAGGAAATAATTTCAGAGTAGTCAAACATGAGTAGAAAATGAGTGGTCAAATGAGTAGAAAATCTTTTGGCCATCAAAAATCCACAAGCTTTTCCTTCAAATTAGAAAATATTCCCTGGGAGCTACTCTATAAATAATACATGGTGGGTTTTAGTGTAATCTTAGTATGAGAACATGCTTTCCTTAGAGCCAACAGTAATACCACTTCAAGAAGGAAATGCTGTGTGAAGAGAGTATCTTGCAGCTCTCTCCCACTTTAAAATCAAGTACATTAGCTCCACAGGATCTCCAGCCCCCAGGAGCCTGATGGCTACAAGGTATGAGTCAGCTCCACCACTCCGACCTCTCAAGAGGCAGAGAGGTATGTCCCGGTTTAGTACCCTGTGCTAGCTCAGGCTTCCTGCACTCAGCCTCTGTGAGGCTCACTTGACACTGAAGCTGATCAGAAATTAAATATTGGCACTAGGTATCCACAAAAAAAAAAACAAAACCCAAAAGGAATGGGGGCATTTCAGGTGGCTGAAGAAGGACCCCCACCTAGGCTTGAGATGTTCCCAGTGCTGTGATCCAAGCTGGGAGAAGCCATGGGCTCTAGTGAGAGGGGTAACTACTCACACCACCACAAAGACTGCATCCTTCTTTTTTTCAAACAATGATTTTAGTAGCAGATAAGTCTCAAGCATCATATCACTGCGGATTTACAAATAGCCTGGAAATAATCCCCCCTTCTCCCATCCCTTCCTCCCTCCTTTCCCCTCACTATATACACCAGATTTTTTTGCTTATCCTATTTTGTTTTGTCTCCCAAACCTTGCTCACCCAGCCTGATTTCACTCATCCAAGCTGAGTTGGGAGTGCAGGGCATTTAACCACAGCCATGTATTGCCTGCTGTGGCTGGGTGTTATGAGATATGACAGCTGTGTGGTGGAAGGGGGACCCAGAGCAGAGATGTGGCCCCATGAGGGAACCAGGATATAACCAGGGCATTAGGACTCCCTGTGTTTGCAGGCCACTTGAGTGATTCTCTTAGCCTGCTCGGAATCAGCTAACTTTGTGAGGGGGTCTTGCGCTGACCCCTCATATAGTTTAGGAGCATACCGAGCCAACTGGATCATGCTCTTTTGGTCACATGCTTTCTTCTAACAATTCACCTGCATATCTTTAATTTTATAGAGCTCTTCTGGGCTGCAATATCATAAGTGGATGAATTGCAACAGAAGATGAAAAATAGGTGGGTCATAAATCTTTCAAGGGTCAACAAATTACTGGCACCAGTGGAATTTCTAGAAATATCCACAAATAGAAGATTCAGGGTGTAACAATAATAATTTTTTTTTCCTCCCTTTTTTAAGGAGTATAAAATGGAAAATATTGCTTTATTATTGCTTATATTCTACTCTTCTGTCTGCACTGGAAAACCTAACCTATATCTGCATTCCCCATACAAAACACTGTTTGTCCATTTAAGATATACACAGCTTTAGTGTTGTACTTCTAAGGACTTTCGCTTAGGAAATAATGGCTATGTGCAATCGACTATTTAGAATAATAATGTTGAAGATAACAGTCAATACTAGAGCCACTGAAGAAACACATAAAAATTCTAAAACTGTCAGAGATGGTATCTGCAAATAATGTCACTGGCATTCTTAGATCACTGAAACATATTTTGAAACACACAAAAATGCCACCAACATAATTCACCAGAGAAAAGTTACAAGGATGATGGGTCTGTACAAAAAAACCCCAACAAAACAAAACCAAGCTAGAAATATGTAATAGCAGGAAAATATTTTCTTTATGTGCATATACAAATGTAAAAAATAATTCTGAGCCACTTGCTGTGTGAGTGTATCTATCTTAATGCAAAAAATTCCCAAATCCCCACTATTTTTTTTTAGAATATTGGAAAACTAACTTGAGCTCAGGATTTAACAATCTCTGTGTCTTAAAACACATGAGCGCATGTTTTTTCACCCTCATTCCCT